CCCCAAAACCCCAAAACCCCAAAACCCCATGAAGTAAAATCTGTTAAATCATGGATCAAATGAGAAAATATAGTTTAAACATTTCTAAATTCTCTTTTGAATTAATTTAAATCAATCATCGTCAAAAAACAAAAAATTATAACTAAAGAAGCGGTCTAGCTTCTCCCGACTATCTTCCACATCGCATAAAAGAGTCTGCATATTAAGATATTAGTAAAGAACCACAAAATTTAAGAAATCTATTCCATCTTAAAGCAGGAATTACTAAACTCCGAAGAATGTCACTGCAATCTAATAAGCTACTTTCATTATCCATATTCCAAGAAGCATGTGCTTATTTAGCCAAACACCTGTAATTGATATTAGTGTAAGACTGTATAAAATCAAAATCAAATCAACAAACTGATAGGGTAAACTGTTCTCAAAGTCCATTTTATAGAAAGTTTAGCCTTCATAATTTATGAATGTGACTTTATCAACTGTGTAGAACAGATCTGGAATTGCTGTAAAAAATCTAGCCAAACTTATCATCCCAATGAGAATTGTAAGTGGTTGTAGTTTTTATGAAATATGCCTTTCATTTCTCAAATTACATAATCTTATTGTGAAGTCAGAAAGTATCATAACAAAAAATGGCTCTACAAACATTTATGCTATGGATCTATATAAAGAATGATTGGCATTAATAAATTTTATGGTACTTCAAATAACTTAGATTGAATAGAACTCTGCCACCTGACCCCATAAAATACCCGAATATCATAATCTATTAAAATTATTTAATAGTGCTAAAAAACTAAGAAACGTTACCAAATAGATTATCATTTAGCATAAACCTTCAAAGAATACAAAGACAAATGTCTTGTCTAAGCCAAAACCACCGAAGCACCAGATATTTATAATTAAAAGTGAAAAACTTGTGACAATATTTTTGCACAGATAAAAGCCATCATACATTTTGAATTTTTATAATATTCTGAATTACTCTTCAATTATAAATTGTGGGGTTTTGGGGTTTTGGGGTTTTGGGG